ATAAGGTAGAAATCAAATATGAGTTTTGAGATGAAATACTGGTTAAAAGTTAATCAAATAAGAACACTAAAAAAAAATTAAAACCAATATAAATGGCACTCAAAACTAGGTGATGTTCACTGAACACATAAATAAGTTATAGAAGTAAAACAAAGAAGTTGTGTTTTCTCCAATGGTCTGGATTTTAGTTGGATTAAAAAAATCTTACAGATTAGGACTAAGTCTGTAACAACGTAGTGAAGAGTAGTGCAAACATCTGTTACACTTTGTCATCTTTAGCCTAAGTATCAGAGTCCTGTTATAATATACCCAACAGGAAAACTTAGAGGAAAGTCAAACACAACAAGGTCAATGGAGTTGTTGTTACATGTATTGAAGCATTTCTTATAACACATATACTTAAGGATTTCAAGAAACGGAGTTATTAATCGACGTACATAGATAATAGAAACCTAGAGAAATCCAGCAGATCAATGGACGCAAGCTAGCGATTCGCATTGCCAAATAAAGATGAGACAAAATCAAAATATATTACGTGAGTTAGCTGGATATACATTCCAGGCTTTGATAAAAGAAGTATGGAATCCAATGGCCAGGTGGTTAGGGCGTTCGACTTGCAATCTGCGGGTCGCGGGTTCGAATCCCCCCATCACACCAAACATGCACACCCTTTCAGCCGTGGTGGCGTATAATGTGACTGTCAATCCAACTATTCGTTGGTAAAAGAGTAGCCCAAGAGTTGGCGGTGGGTGGTGATGGCTAGCTGCCTTCCCTCTAGTCTTACACTGCTAAATTAGGGACAGCTAGCGCAGATAGCCCTCGTGTAGCTTTGCGCGAAATTCAAAACAAACAAACAAACCAGCGTCGAACAGACGCAATTTGATGAGATAAAGCAACAAATGTTTATATTCCAAATTATCATTAGAGGAAACAACTTCATAAAATACGATTAACAGAACTTTAAAGAGAATCAACGAGCGGAAGGATACCTATAAAAAGACCAAAGTTATACGGTCTGTCTCTATACTCTAATATCGGGTGTTTACGCCAATGTAAACGAATAAGTATCGAGAGATAGTTCCATACGAACCAATTAACAAGTGAGTATGGTTGTGGTTTGTTGTAAGATTCCACTTGTACCAATTAAGTTGAAGGAACTACTTTCAAAAGTAGATCCACTGCACTTATTGAGAAATCGTAATGACGCGGAAAAAGTGTCAGCATGCATGACCATTTTACAACCTCTCCAGAAGATTCGTCGCCTGAATTCTTGTAAATAATGCTATCTCTGACTTGTATTGGAGATTTAGTAAGACTAGTAAATGAAATCATTGTATTGCTAACAGACATACTGGAAGATTTGCTAATACAAGTTGTATAACACAAAAACTATGATTGAAGAAATTTCCCGTATTACTTTAATTAATAACCTGTTTAATGTTGTATTCATGTTAATGAACATAGTAGAAAGTTTGATTAATGAACAGATAGTCTCCAAAACAAAGGGTTTGATTATTTCAAGATAACTTTGGAAGCTTTGATATAGAGGAATTGATCAATTAAAAATTATTTTGTGTTTATATTACGACTGTGAATTTCTTTATTCCAAACGTAAACTTCTTCGAGTTGGTGGCTTGTGGTCTGCATAACCTGGATTTAAATAAATTCATTTGTGACTTGTGTGAAGTCGAACCCAACGACTACGCCTACCGGCCACTCGTTACAGTAGTTTCTTTAATCTTTAGGTTTGAAAGATACTTGTCATTTCTTTTTATTTATACAGAAATGTATCTTCAGTGGATCAAAGTTCTTTGAATGATAAAAATTTGTTATTTGCCCTAGTGTTTCTTGTAACCATAGGGCAAAATAAAGGACAACCCAGTTGTTAGTTGCTGGCGAATGACATTCTGGAGATCACCATCTTTTGTGACGCCAGAGGTCAAATCTTGGATGTGACACCAGAGGTCGAAGGTCAAGTGTGTGAAGTCTAACGTCTAATGTCGATGCTCAATTATGAAGGTGTTTGTCGTTCATAATGGCTTTTGTGACACCAGAGGTCAAAGGTCAAGTGTATGAAGTCTAACGTCGATGCTCAATTATGAAGGTATTTGTCGTTCACTATGTCTGAAGATATTAAAATAATGTCCCTAATTCAACTCATATTACTGGTAATATGAAATTCACATGAACGGCTGCGATTAGTGACAATAAACTATTCAGAAATTGTTTGCCTTTCAATTTAGGCTTCATCTCATAATTGTCTTCAATGCCAATAACAAATTTCCCATATGTTCTAATTTTGTACATGTGTTATTTTTGTTTTTATTATCGTTACTTACAATATAATATATTGGTAGCCAATACTATTTATCTTAAGTGTATTTATTTGTTTATTTTGAATTTCGCGCAAAGCTACACGAGGGTTATCTGCACTAGACGTCCCTAATTTACCAGTGTAAGACCGCCAACTCTTTACCAACGAATAGTGGGATTAACCGTCAAGTTATAACGCCCCCACGGCTGAAAGGGCGAGCATTTTTGGTGTGACGTGGATTCGAACCCGCGACCTGCATATTGCGAGTCGGGTGTTCTAACCACCTGGTCATGTCGGACATCTGAAGTGTGAAATAATGGCTAAGATTAACAGTGCTTGCAGGTTATTAGATTAACAGTGCCTGCAGGTTATGAGCACCTTAAACTGTTTTTTTATTAATATATATATAAACTTTTTAATGCTTTCCTGCTAGTAATGTCTGAAACATCTTTAAGAATATTTTATTTAAAGAGCTAATTGTTGTGTGATCGATGAATAAATTTTGATAACTTCCTAACTTGCACACGAACTAAAGTGATATGATGTGAAGAAACACGAACTAGAGTGATATGATATGTATAAACACGAACTAGAGTGATATGATATGTATAAACACGAACTAGAGTGATATGATATGTATAAACACGAACTAGAGTGATATGATGTGTATA